GTATTGTGACATTTCTGTTGACCGATGATGGAAAAACTTGTCAGTTGCAGCCCTACTTTAAGTACATACTTAATATTTAACAATGTCTCTGTTTCCTTTATCAAAAAAGCTAAAGATTCCAGTAATTTTTTCCTCGTCTGCAACATAAATCTTATTTATGCGAGCATGTTTGGTCCTTGTTTGGCTGTCTTTTGAAAAGGCCACAGTCCTTAAAATGTATGGAAGAGGTGACTCAGTGAGTACGATGAGTCTACTCAAACAGGACTAAGGCACTGAAACTGCATACACACAAACACACACGCAGAAAAAAACATACAAGTAAGGATGTCCCGCAGGCTGCCATTTCTGGCTGTCATTCCAGCTGAGCACTGAGGCAGAAGGACAGAGAGTGAGAGAGAGACAGGCGGGTGGAGAAGAAAGGGTGGAGAAGGGTGGGGGTGGTGACACAATGAAGGCTCACAGGGAGACAGGAAGCAGATGGTGCAAATGAGGCTGAGGTCTTTAATGAACTACTGAGGAGAGGAGAGGAGAGGAGAGGAGAAGAGAGGAGAGGAGAGCTCTATTACCTATATAAACCAAAGACATATAATATCTCTCTCCGAAAAAAACTTTCAACACGTTGAGTTGAACACTGCCAATGTCACATTTTAATGGCTGATCCCACCTAACAAGGTAATAATGTTAAAAATCCTTATAAAATCCGAACTGTTCTCCAGTCTGGCCAAATAACACAATGAAGACAAAATATAATCACTCTCTATTTCACACACATTTTTGCATTTGAGCCAGAGTACATCTTTCCAAGTGCACAGCTGCTTTCAGGAGCCGGGGACGACAAAGACAGAGCCGAAAAAAACAAGGGAGGCCAAAGAAATGTGGATGTTAAGGTGGAGATGGAAAGATTCAGTGCCTGTAAATATTCTGAAACAGACAGGACAGTATTCAGCTCAGGAAAAGTTTTGCAGTATGTGCGGGTGGTTTCCACCAACATGAACTGAGCCAGCCTCCTACGCATGGGCTGCCTGAAAGACTTTCTACACCTGTCAATTAAACCCCCCTGGGTATAAGGTCAGCTGACAAATGCTAATACATATAGAAACATACAAAATCGCAATGTATAGTAGAAACTGGGTCAATTAATTGTACTGGGGACATTCACAGCAAGCAATAAGACCCCTTGCTGTTTCTGATGCTACATGGCTATTCTCTGTCATTGCCATCATCCTTGTTGCCGTGGTAATGAGGTTTTCCTAATGGCAGGTTGGGGTCAGCTGTGGGTCAGTCAGCAGGGGAGTAAGACTCTCATAGTTAGCAACAACCGTTACTCCTTGAAGCCAGTCATCATCTTTCCACGCCCATTCCATCTATCAGAGGATATTTTGGTCAAATTGAAACATGAGAGAACAACGTTCACCCAGATATCTTTAACAAGTCTTAAATAAAGAAAATAAACACACATTACTAATTTTATCAGCAGAGCAAACATGTGCCAATGCTAAAACATCTTTAAGGACAGCACAGAATCATGAGCACATCCAAAGCTGGTGTTGGAGCCAAAGCGAATGTCTGGATTAACTGTCTTTTGGGATGTTTATGATTGAACTATGATTGATTAAAAAATTTGAGCAATTAGCAATACATTAAGTGAAGTGATTTTCCATACGACAGGAAAGGCACAGAAAAGCGGACATGTTAGAGAGTGAAATAATCAGCTGTCGCATGTTTCATCTTGTGTCTGTCCATCAGAAAAGCCAATTTGTTGCAAGAAAGTGTCTAATCTTTTTAATCTTGTTGGGACATTTTCTCGGACAATAATAGGCAGAGTGGCAATAACATTTTGTTTTATCTTATTATTGATTCGAAATTATGTACTTGTGTTTTTCTATTAATGATTCTATACTGCATACTACTATTAATGATTCAAGTGATTTTATAATAGATCTGAGCTGCAAATCCTCAAAAAAACCCATGTCACGCTTGTAAGAGAAATCTGAAATTCATATTTATTATCTGTAAACAATTAACCATTTACTGATTATTATTAATGTTGGCAACAAATGCTTGCGCAATATGGGGGCAGGTTTTTGCATTGTGTCTTGATGCAGAAGGGGTTGGCAGTTAGGTTTAGGTAACAAAACTACTTTTAAGGTTAGGAAAGATTGTGGTTGATGTGATATGACGACATGATGTTATAAAATAACGTCAAGTTTCACATGGGACATGTACATCGGTCTCCTTTGTCAAAGTCCTGCACATGTACCCATACACCTCCCCTACCACCCACGGTAAGCGATTTCACACTCTCTGATGCTCTGACCATCTAATGATGACGTGAATGGGTTTACACTGAAGTTGAGTAAAAGCCTGGTGCGTCACATACAGATGCTGAAAGGTGCCAACGTTCATGGTGCACCCACACAGATGCTTTTGACGCCCTGAGATAGACCATGCTGGATTGAGGAAAGTGCTTAAAATGGACAACCCCATGAATGTAGAATTATTTTTTGCCACTCACTGACAATAGGAAACTTGTTATATTTGTATTTAAGCTACTTTGATAACTTGTTGGAATATCCAGGTATCCCTGCCACATCATGACACTGAAGCTCATTTAAGGGGTAAATTAAAATCATATGAATAGGATGTGATTTGTACACACAATTTTGATGAGTTCTATGGCCTTACAATGAAGCTGAAATTTCATTTGTGCTTAGAAATTTGGGTTTAATCCCACCCAGGTGTAACATATATCCCACAGTGTGTGTAATACAGAATACTGCAAAGTAGGGCTATACCCCAGAGTCTTATATTTCAAAGACATATGTTGGGGAGAAGTCCTCCTCAAAAGGTAAGACTGGGAGTATTTATTGCAAGACCAGCATTTTGACTTTGCAGGGCCACTAAAAGCACATTTAATAGATCCAGCTTTTAGGAAAGGGAATGTCTAAAGAGGACAGATGATAGAAACGATGACAGTGGCAAAGGCGGAGGGCAAGGACCAAGAAGGGGAGTGAAAATAGGAAGAGAATGAGACAGAAGATGAAGAGAGGACATGAACATGCATTGACAGCAGCCTGTGTGTACATTTTAATGCAGACACATACAGATTATGCTTTAACATCTATGTTTCTGAGACTACATCAGCCACAGTCCAAAGAAACCAACGTGAGGCATAAGACCAGATGACTCTGGGGCGATATCATCTGGATAACAACAACCATACTTATGGCTAATGTCAGAATAACATCTAACTGCTCTTCCAAAGTTCATGTACTTGCAAATGCCTTTATTCCATAAACCCTACTGAGACAAAGGCAGACCATTTACACATGTGTACGTGCTGCAAAAATATAGTTAATCATATCAGGTGATATGGGACATTCAGCCAGCACCACATCAAACAGAAGACCGACATTCTTACGTGTTGTGAGAAGCAAGAATGCCATTAGCTCCAGTAAAAGAATGAACAAGAGAGACATTATATCAAGATGTGAAATTTTGCTGCTCTGGAGGTGCTCAAGTCTGCTCAAAAGAAAAAAAATGTCTGTCATGAAAATAATCAAGGGGAAGTTAACTTAATAAACGCCCCACTTTGACCGTTTCTGTTCTTGCAAATAGACAGAAAATTGAACTTTAGAGAAAAAATGTGGGCTATTACACCAAAGGTACGACCACTGAAGTGTACATGTGTGTACGAACTCAAAGATACTGACAAAACTCCAATATGCAGACACACACACATTCACGCTCAGCTCAGAATCATTCTAGGCTGTGGTCCCAATGCTAACCTCAAGTCAACAAACACACATGGAACTCAGCAGAGAGAGAAAGAGACGGAGCAAGGAGAGGCCAGTGGTTATTATGCTTGGACCGAGGTTCTGTGCTGTTATATTCTGAAGTGTGGACTGGGCCTGGTTACAGACACAACGTGGACCGCAAAACGTCTCTTTAATTGGAACGAAGTGAAACGAAGTCCAGATGGCTTTAATAGACAATATTCGCTTGGGGGACACATTCCAATTTGTCTTTCTCTCCATCTGTGTCCAGTTCTCCTGCTCCCACACATTTTCCTCCGCTGTCCTTTACTCTTTCACATCCTTTGAGTCAGCCACCCTTTCCATTCCACAAACTTCACTTTCTCCATTTCTGTTCCATGACCATTATTTCTTCATCATCATTAGCATCTTTCAGCGCTGTGTTCCATTAACCTTGAATACAGAGGTCAGAGGTGGGAATGACGTTGCAACTGAGTTGACCGGTACAGTACAAGTCGGAAAACCAAGATGTTCTTAACAATACCACTTCAAGCCACGTTAGCCACTGTTAGCCATACCAGTTGATAACAATGCAGTGTGCTGTATTTTGCACATACACACACACGGTAGCAACATGTCCACTATGTGTACGACTGTTTTAATGAGACACACACAAGACAGAAGTGGTAATAAACAGTATATTACTTCAGCTTTCACTACTGCTGATGCATAGAGCAGCCATCTTGAATTTTGAGGACGGAGTTGGTGAGGTTCCTAGGACTTTCCAAGTTGGAAATCCAACTTCAGGGGGCGTTCTAGTTGAAATTTCCAAGTGGGAACTCAGAAATTCTGACTTTCCAGTGCAAACTAAACGTACCACAAGACCTCACTGACACCCCTCTTCATCCCTCTGTCTTCCCAATCCTTACATACATCACACATACTTTAAATTTTGGCATTTCATCTTTACAAATGACACTCAGGAATACTTCTGTGAACATTTATTCTAAATGAGGTGGAAAATTTCATGGTCTTGAAACATGCTTGAGGAGTTTTTTTAAACTGTAGGAAATATGGAATGCAGTTTGTATTACTGAAAAACATCAACACATGATACATAATGTGTGAAGTCAGCACCCTGGACAGCAGGGTACATCCATCCATTTTCTACACCCACTTATTTCTATTCAGGTTGAACTGGGGTCTGTTTTAGTATGTACTGGATGAAAAATGAAAAGACCTTACCAGTAGGACACATCCAGGGGGTTAAAACAGCGCCTTGAGATGAGGTCAGCGAAGACGGACTCAGTCTCACGACATGCCGTCCCATTGCCAATGACAACCTTGGAACAGCTAGTATGGACAAGAGGAGGAGGAGAAGGACAATGAAGATTAAGAAGCTAGATTAGGTAAACTAGATTCCGTTCACAATTCTCTTTCCCTGAGATGATTTTGAAGCACTGAGTTATCATTGCTGCTACATAAATGCAGAGAGGAAAGTAACAGTAATAAAAACACTGATAAATACAACTCAAAGTGACCATTTAGACACAAGCAGCAGTACCTATATTTCATCATAAGGTGGCGCAGTTTGTCTGCCTCTTTTCGCTGGTCTGAATTATGCAGGTACACAACATCAGTATGAAGAATCTGACCTGAGAGCAGGGAGATGGAGACAAACAGAGGGTGAGAGAAAATACATTGTTGATGATGAAGTATTATGATGACAACAGGGGGCTCAACAGAGAAAGCTATGTACCATCAGCTAATGTCTCTCCACTGTATGCTGTCTAACGAAGCAGCACTGCCCCAAATAAATCAAATAGTTTATGAAGTGCACATCTTTACTGTCTAAGCCTCCACAGGAAGTCCAGCATCTTCCAGTTAGCTGCTTCCTCAGAGGAGGAGTGTAGCTCTGAATGGACAGCTCTGACCAGAAGTCATGTGAGCTGGGAACCACTAAACCTGTGACCACACCATGCTGGGCCTGACACCCGATGTATACCTGTGTCTGACTGTTACAAGTGTGTCAGTGTGACTTGTGGCCACACAATCAGTCACCCAGAGGGTGGGACCTACTCTTGCGCAGTGTGAGGCCACACCCACTGAGATACATGCTGTGACATACAGTACAGCAGAAACACACATACATATGCATGCTCACACTTATTTCGCCCACTAGGGTCATGCCAACTGGCATCTAGTCTCTGACATGTACATGCACACCAAAATATAGGCCGTTAGCCATGAATATGCAGTGGCACTTTAATCTGCATAGTGTAAAAGAGTAGATAACTCTTCAATATGCGACTGCAATTACAGAAAAATGCTGTTAGTAAAATAAAAATGTTCTGTTCTTACAAAAAAGTAGGAATTTGTGTTTATGCTTACTGAATGCATCAATGACCAATTACATGTCGAAATAGTGGAGAGTTCCACTCAAGAAAATGTAGAGCTTTAATGTGCAATGAGCTGTACTTTATATTTCTTGTTTTAGATTAACATAGTGGCACAGGATAAATCTGTGTTTGCCGTCAACCTCAATGGATCAACACACAACATCCAACATGACGCCATAGCCTCTCAGACACGGCTGCCATCCTTGGATTTTGTGTACTATGGTATCTAGAGCTTTCAGAAATAGTGCAAGAAAGATGATGTGACATTGTTGATAAGTATGGTCTTATATTGGGGCTTCGGTGGTTTAGTGGTAGAGCAGGCGCCCCAAGGCTCTTGCTGCAGCGGCCCGGGTTCTACTCCAGCCTGTGGCCCTTTGCTGCATGTCTCTCCCTCTGTCTCTTCCCCTTTCACACTTCACTATCCTATCAATAAAAGGCAAAAAATGCCCACAAAAATATCTTAAAAAAAAAAAGTATGGTCTTATAGCTCATATGCAAACGTAGGTGGTATAAACATGTGTTAAGTATACTACATAGTTACTTACTCGTGGGTGAGAGAATTGCCAGCTTACAGCCATGTCTAAAGCCTGGGTCCACCCCCATGATGACACAGCCCCTGACTGGACACACCAACAGGCGCTGCCGGAGGTTCCGCACAAACATGGCAATAGACTCCTTCTCTGCTTTACTGGTCAGCTTAGTCCTAAAGTGAGGGAATGCAAAAGAAATACAGACAGATGGGTGTGAGAACAGTAGAGGAGTGGGGGAAGATGTGAACAAAAAGAGGGGAGAAGAGACAGAGATGTAGAGGGTAGTTGTATGGTGAAGGTAAAAAGAAAGAGAAAAAGGGAAGGAAGGAGAAAGTTGAGGGATGAGGAGGAAGAGATAACAGACAAACAGTGTGAATGAGTACGTGGTGATCAAAGGTAGGAAAGCCCTGAGAGTGTGCAAGCACACATTAACAGTCACATCTGAAATACCTGTAACTTCTGGTGAGCAAAGGCAGAATAAGCCTTTTATAAGAGTCCTCTACTGCATTATTGATCATTGCACGAAGCTCGTCTCTTGCCAATGTCTTCGGCCTCCACCTGCATTAAAACATTGGGACAAAGATTTTATTTTTCCATGGGTCATTCCCACTAATAAATATAATCTATAAAAGTAAATGTGACTTCCTCTAGTCAGCAAACTGCAAAACTTATCTTGCTGAACCAAATCGGTAAGTATCATAAACTTTGTTTGCCAAAGAGCTTATTTTCTGCAACAATCCAGAGAACCAGGGGGATGTTTACTTCTGGGTTGACCTACAAAAAACCTGTAGCACTCTGCACAAAATACTTATGCGTAATATGCGTTTGTGTTTGTGTGTGCCTGCTTGTTACAGTGCTTGTGTTTTATTGCGTTTCTGACCTGTTGTTGATGCACCACCTGGTGAAGTCACTCTTAACCCTGTCAGGAATGTTCACCTTCACTGTCAAAATCTTCAGACTCTCCCCTCGGTTAATAGCCAGGGTCTGTACACACACATACACACAGACGTTTCCCCTGCTTAATGCAAAACAATAAACTGCATAAACAGTGCAGACAGGTGCATATGAACACAGAGAGGAAAAACCCACTTCCCTCCCAAAAATCCACAATTTCTACTGCTCGCATTTTAAACGTATGAATATTTTGCAAAGCAATGATCCAAACCTACACAGCAGATTACTGTGGTTGTTTATATGTCCATTTACATCTGTAGTCTAATAAATTTGCTTATACAGTTTTAAAACATGGATAGATTTTATTTCTTTGCAGCAAAATCCTGCAGTTGTGATGCTAAATTTTACATTTTTTACTTAAATTTTTTTTTACTTTCTTACTTATAAATATTGAAAGGTAAATTGGAAGCAATTATGGGGGTAAAAAGAAAGAAAATATTTAATTAAAGATGTCATTAGTACACAGACAAAGTTACTGTATACACAATATATGTGTAAAAGACATGTGTACCCAAACCTCCACACATGAGCACAAAAACAAAATCTTTGAACTCTCCGCGCACACACGCGTGTAAAAGTGACGAGCCTAGCAGTATATCCTGTGGCCAGGCCTGTTGTGTTGTGTGCTGGTCCCCCCTCAGAGGAACTGTTACATGCTGTTAAGCAAACTGTAGTAAGTGTCTGACCTTTTCAGTAGGGAACCTTTAGCCCACCACAGAACAGGGCCAAGAAACAAGACGTCAATCTGGAAACCAAGCGGAAGAGGCGAGCTGACAAATGCCACCACTACGCCACCATCAGTGCTGAGACCGCAAGGCCTACCCCCACCCACACCGCACACGTGGTGCCACAACCATTACCACTCAGCAGCACCCTCGGATGTGCTGCACCCATACGCAACACACACACACACACAAAATAAAAATATAAAATACAGCTAATGGCATGGCAGAGGCTAGAATTAATGCAGCAGGCTTGCTTGAATTATGATGAAAGTTAGATTTCTCTTCTGTTGGCATGTTTCTGCCCTGGGCTGCCGCACTGACGGTGATGAGATTTCTCAAACAATCTTCATCAAAGCACTGAAGTTTAACATGCTGCTGAAGGAAGGAAGCCAAATACTTCTTTCTAAATTCTTTGACCATCTAGAGGAGCTCGAGAGTGAAATTAAAACAGTAAATATGAAACTGCCTAGCTAAATCTGTGTTCTCAGGGTTCAGCATTCAATCGTTTTAAAGATCATTTTGTATAATGAAGAATGACATGCTGTCTTTTACATGACTGCAATGCATCACAGGCCGATTCCTACACTTCCTAAGCCTAGTGTGCTGTCTGTTTGTTGAATGTGGGGATGAACGAATATGTAAAAACTCCAAAAATAAGAGGGTTATCAGAAAAACAAGAAAAATGGCACTAGTTTTAAGTCTCATACCAAAAAATGATCTACTGGTGGTCACCGTATGTAAACGCTGATAGACAACAGAAGATACAAAGAAAAATGTGACTGGATTCCCAATGCTCAGATGCATAGATAAAAGACAATTTGAATTATCTTTGTCCTTATAATTATGCAGGTTCTGTGTACCAGATATTGCACATACTTCTACATGTTGCCTGCATGATAAACATACATTTTAATGCAATACAGATAAGCACTGCTGCAAATCCACTTATCCAAACGCATGCTTCTAAACAATCCTGTAATTTACCTACCAAAAAACTCAAAAATGAATCTTTTTGTCTGGTTGCCAAACCCCAACTATGGTCAACTATGCCCCACCAAAATTTAAAATTTCATGTGTCTCCATCAGCTCTACAATCTGTGTCCTTCGTCTGCTTTCCTTGGTAGCTGCCCACTGTCCTCGCCGATGATAAAATAACCTTGTGTCTGTCTGTACGTCTCTCAGTTTCGGCCTGGGTTGGGTCACTGGTGGGAGACAGAGGGTGATCTGAGAGGAAGGGTGATGTGAGACAGAGTGAGAAGCATGTGTTTGTGTGTTAGCTGGTCCACGAGTGACATGTGGCCAAGTACTGGCCAAGCCCTGACAAGACCAGACAGAATGTCTTTCCTGGATGCCCCTTCATCCTTCCGCCAGCCCCCGAGGGAGGGCAGCCAGTCAACAACCGTCCTCTCTCTATCTGTCTCCTTCTCTCTCTCTCAGCCTTTCTTTAGAGGAATACTATCATCAACACATCCATCCACCCTACATATCACGGATAAACAAACAGATACACATACTGACACACACACACATTCCCGGCAGATTTGCACACTTTTTGACCTGGCTGACACACACGGGACGGGATGCACTGTATAATAAATCAACACCTGTCAGGAGATCGCCTTAAATTCAGAAAACAGAGTTAGTCAAGAGTTAAAACTCAGCTGTAGTAGTGCAAGACGGTCTTTAAAAAAAAACAAAAAACTGAGCATATAATGTTCTTCATAAACAATGACATTATAACGGGTGAAGCATATGGAATGTAAGCTACATTTAGTGAATATTATTCTTTAGACAGTACGATTTCAGACAAATATTGACTCTCTAAATATCAATGAGGATAAGTCACCACAAGGGATCATGGCCCAGCATGATACACTGGTCTTTTACACAAACATACTGGCTGCTCAGGGAGAACTCTGTGCTCCTTCTGTCCCGTTTACACTCTCTTATTCTATCCAAAAACAAACACAACACGGCATGGAGTCTGACGGACATTCATGGAACAACAAACTTTAGATCAGAGTAAAGAAGGAGAAAGAGGAAAAGCATCTCAATTAGCACTTCATGTACGTCATATTTTGGTTTAGTTTTAAGTGGCTTTATCATGTTTTGTTATCTAATTATCTAAATTGTAAAAATGTAATATTACTGACAGGGAAAAGGAGGCAGAGGAGGGTTAAACAGACCAGACATCATTGATTTATAAAATATATATACTGCACCAGCATACTACAAGAAGTGATACGGAATTATCATCTTGTTTCAAAGCATTAAGACATACACAAACACAAAAACTCAGTGTTTGTGTGTGTGGGTGTCAGTGCTAATAATGTTGTTTTTCTCCACCTGTCCATCAAAAAAGAGTCTTTAATTGATCAAACAGTTGCATGTACCCAAGCTCCTCTGCGGGCGAGCCCCACGCTGGAGCGCTAAACTACCATTTGATCACAACACAAATCACATTAAAAATAGCCCACTGCACATTCAACAAATCCACCCTGGCATGCTGAAGAGTGCACCCGCTTCTAATAGCTATAAGGTAAATGCGTACCCTTCGAAGAAGACCTCAAATCAAATCTGATGGAATTAAATCTGAGCTAAGGATCTCAACTAGATAGGTCACATGGCTTTAAGACATACTGCATACCAGGGCTTTGTGTACACTAGCTTTAGATGGATTTATAAAACAGTTACATAATTCTATTCTTATTATAGGGCTGATTATATTCCGTAAATCTCCATGATGGAAAATGTTTAGCAGGGCTGAAATTATTGATTAAATCGATTAATCGTTTCAGTCTTTATCCAAGCAAAAAGCCCACACTTTTTGAGGTTTCAGCTTGTAATTTGTGAGAATTTGAAGTTTCCTTTTCTTTACTGATTGTCAAATTAATGTCTTTGGGATTTGTATAGTTGGTCGGACAAAAAAAGCAATATTAAAACATCAACTTCAGCATTTAATAATCCAAATAATTAATCAATAACAGAGAAAAAGATTGTCACATTAAATAAAAACAAGTATTAGCATTATTCACAGTCTGATACTTTTCAGTCTAAAAGTTCATTGTGAAGCAGACAACGAGCACTAAATGACCATGTTTCACCTTTCTTTAGTTTTCTACTGGCTTCATTCATCAATTTGTCTTTTTATGTCTTTGTGTACTTAAGTAAACCTTGCCAATAGGGACAAGACGATATGATTTTACGGTGCATTGGGATAAAAAACATTTGCAATAAGTTGATCGTGGCTAATTTCCATTATTGAGATAATCTTGAATATTGTGTCCAGCAGCATCTGCGGCACTCAAGGAGGCAACCAACAATGAAAGAGACTCTGCAAAAACAGGCTGCATACGCACTAGCCTCAAATAACGCAAAATATATTAACCAAGCATTTCAAACTGTTAAAACGCCTTTGCTCTTTAAGATTGTTGAACTTTTTGTTTTACTAAAAAGGATGTTCTCTAAAAAAGATGTGTCCTATCTGTGATGCAATTAAAACATTTGTTTCTTAACTAAATGTAAGGTAAAGTGATTCCAGTATGTTTAAGTGCCATTTTAAAAGTTTAAGGTATATTTTGATGGTTATCAGGATATTCAAGACATTGAATTTTCATATCATGCCCACTTGCCAATCAGATTTTATTTCCTGTATCATTCCACAATGTATTGCTTTTTATGCTAGAATATTAAGGATGTAATTTAATTGTAATCGTAGGATGAACTTGCATGTTCAGTGGACCAACTGTAAAACCCTTCTATCACTGCCTTCAGAAAATGCCCCGGCCTTTTCCTTTAACAAACCACCAGAGCAGGGGCTTAATAAAATGTGCTAAAGCAAACGGGCAAGTGTGTGCTCACACACATGCCTCCTGTCAAAACACATCTCCCACCTGCTCCCCCTTCCCGACAACTTGACGGCTAGAAAAGGTTCATTTTAGCCGGAATCCGACAGCTAGCAGGGTCACAGCAGCCTGTGGATTAACACTCCATGACAAAGGCGAGTCATCGAATTAAAGGCCTCTCATACGCAGAAGAGGAGAGGGGAGAAGGGGAGATGTGTGGAGTGGATTGGAGGGCTGAGGTTTAGTCAGAAAAAGAGGGAGGGAGGCAAATCAGAGCAAAGCAAGAAAGATAAGTGACGGACGCACCTCAGCGTCACTCATCTGTTCGTTCTCTCCCTCCCTATACCACCCCCTTTCCCTCTCCCCATCCTTCCACCCGCCTGTGGGCCCAGCAGCAGTAGCTGTCACTACAGGAGAGCGCCTGTCAATCAAAGCCTCCTAATCCAATGGCATGTCGGCAGGGGACATGTCACATATGTTAAGAGGAGAGAACGAAGGGACTTGCAGGGTGTGCTTGTGTGTGAGCAAGTGTGTGCGCATGCATGTATGTTTACGTGATTGTATGACTGTAGGGCAGAACGCGGTTGCCAGAGAGTGTGGTGTGGCAGAGAGGCAGCGGGTGATGGAAGCTGTGGTGACACATGAGGCCCGGGACCAACTCTGAGTAACCCACTAGTCACTAAAGGGACAGAGGGGGAGCAGAGGAGGCAGAGCAGGGCACAGGAGGGGTAAATATGGAAGCACAGACAAGGCTAACTGCGACTGACATGGCTAGCATTCAGAAACGGCACACATGAAGCAGACAGAAATGACACACACACAAACAGATGGTGTGCATTTGTTTGTGTGTGAGGCTCAGTCAAGGCAGAACACACGATACAGGTGTAAATGATCTTTAGTATGGCCCAACATTCTTGAATAATTTGTTTTTCATGTTTAATTATTCAACATGTATTTTGTATTATTTGTCTCCTTGGTTAAACCATAAAGGTTGTTGCTTTTATTTTGAGGGAGTAAAGCCAGTTGCTGTTGTCTGGATCTAATTTTAGTAGTTAGCAATAGTTGGCAATAACCGAAGGATTTGGAGAAATATTATGACAACACCAGGGCTAACCCATCAGCTAGACAACAAAATCCCAGCTGTTCCACTGCTAATACAAAACTGTACGGTATCATGAAATTCCAACAGATGAGTACCAAAAACTTCAACCTATCCTGCAGATTGCAATTTTTACAGGAATTCCCATGGGTCACCGAATTCCTGTGAGATTCCCATGAGACAGAACAGAAAAAAAACTCAACAGGAGCAGGCGAGATAGGAATCATAATCATAATAGGTGGGATATGCTATGAAAGTGATAAACTTGATGTCTTGTTACCTGATGAGGCTGGATGCGGTTGATGTTGCAGGTGAAGTCAACGTAGATGTGGAACTTGTCAATGTCCTTGTTCTTGTTTTGTTGGGTCCCTGGTTTTTTGTGGCCTTGGGCAGACTTCTCCTGCTCTTTTTCCTTTAGTGCTGACTTGGATACAGAGGACTGGATGGTCACAAAGCTGTTCTCACATCTGACACAGCAAGAGAGAAACACAAGAGTAGAGAAAGAAGAGGGCACTGTATTATTAGTGATGTCTGAGGTAAAATATAATCTGGTACCAATATCAATGTCACACAGACCACTGTGGAAAATAAAACCAAACACTGCAATAAACGTTGTGTGCATCTGACTTTGTTCTCACAATGTTTTCACGTAGGTCAGTGTCTCAGAGTCTTTGGCTATCATATCAGCCAAGATATGCTCCACACCTGTCGCCACTTCTTCCACCGATGACAGACCTGACACACAGATAAAAAAACACATGCAAAGTGTGCTCAAAATCAGTTCTCCACTGGACCTTTAATGAGCTCTATAAATCTGTTGGAGCAAATATAATGTCAATAACATGTTATTACATTTGACATTTTTAACTATTTGAACCAAAGCTGAAATTGTCTAACCCAATCAGTGACACAAAGTTATGTGCCCTAATTTATAAAAAAAATCCTTTCTCCAGACGAGATGTTTTCAGTAAAAAAAGACAAACAAACAAACAAAAAAAAACGGGAGTTTGACACAAGAAAAAGCCAACAGTTCCAAGGGCTTCTTGTCCAAGCATACTGCTAACCACCAGTGCTATGTTTAATTTAATGACTAAAAAACTATGTGTGTACGTGTTTATGTCTTACCCTCAGTGCCAGGTTTTACCCATGCCCTTAAATCCAGAGTGTGCGGTGTTTCCATGAGTGCAGAGGCGGCCTCCTCAAGGCCGAGTGCTTTGGCCCTGCGAGCTTTCGTCAGCTTACTGCCTTTCTTATAGGGAGAATACTGCAGACAAAGACAGAAGCACTGGACTGAGAAGACTGGTAAGGAGAGGCCCAAGAGCCATATTCAGGTTTGGATGAATAATGCTGCAACCAAGAATTAGCCCTCCAAATCCAATTCAAATGACAGATAATACTTAAGAACATAAATGTGATTCTGACCACATGATCCAGTTCATCAGCTGATCGGCAGCTCCTCAGGTCTTGCTCCAGCTCAGCTGTCAGAACACCGTCTTTCTTCAGGGTCTGAATCACAGACTGGGTCTTCTTGGCAAGAGAGCTGAAGGAACACATAAACAGAAATATAAAAACAAAACAAAAACAGATTATATATGGAGTGCATACATTATAACACACACAGACAGACACACAAAAAAGTGACACTCATATAAAACAATCACACAGTGAGCGTGTTTACATGCACACTAATAAACCGATCATTATCTGATTTCTGGAGTTACCTGATTATTCAAGTGGCCATGTAAACAGCATAATCCAAGAGGCTTTATCAGATAAAAGCCATTATCTGATTATGAGAAATCAGATAAACACATCTAGCTTTTTCCCCAATAGTCAGATTATTCAGTGCATGTATACCCTTTAATCTGGTTTCTTTCTGGTTTTGCTATTTTATACTCCCACTCCACTACATTTTAGAAGGAAATATTGTACTTTCTACTCCACTACGTTAATCTGACAGTTTTTGTTTCCTTTCAGATAAAGATTTTACATAAATAATATATTTTTATATTCTCAGTGTTTAAATTGTCACTTTTATTTTATCTTACTTATATGTTATGCACTTTGTGTGACAAGTTTATATACAATACACTTTGCAGTACTTTTACTCCGAATCTGCCCAAAGTATGTAAAATTGGCTCCACATTGATAAACTACACATTAGAATGCTTTCACATGTATTTGTTAATGATAAAAACAAACAGTACTGTAAGAATATAAGCTGTCAGCATGATGAGTACTTTATTTTGCAAATAACTTCCGTACTTTTCGAGGTTTTTCAAGGATATGAGTACCTACTGTAACAGGAAGTTTGAGTTTTATGTCATGTACTTGGGGAGAAATCCAACTGAAGAACTGAATCATGTAAACCAGGTTTTTCTGATTATCTGATTATTGTGCCCATGTAACCGTGCTCAGTGTTTCTGATACTACTTTGGGTCTTAAACCTTGATTAATAGCACCATCTAGTGGCCAATATTAGACATACTGTCTGGAAATGAACCAAATCCTGCTCAGCTCCTCTGGGAAAATATTCAATTTAAACATTTAATTCCTGCTGGCAAGAATATAAGTGGAAAATCAGTGTTTTGTTTTTTTTTAATTCAACCGTTTTGTTTGCTTACCATATCTCCTCATATACCAGCTGGACGTCTCGAACAGCATCAGCGTCCATGTGGTTAATCATCTCTTTGCGGTACCGCACCATAAACGGCACCGTGTTCTCCTCACGAAGCAGCCCGATGATATTTGCACACACCCATTGCTCCACACATGTGAGGGTGGACAGAACCTGAGGGGAAGGACACTTACAGTTCAAACTGTACATCTATACTCTCCCATTCTTTCGCATCTTAGTGCACACATACACAACATCCCAAGGTGGTTGTAATTTCCTCCACCATTTGACAATGATATAGACAAACACTTTCTCACACATAAAACACACTGACAAACCCTACAATACCTCTATCAAGTCCCAGTTCATGTTGAGGTCATTCCTCAGAGCTTGTGCTTCTGATGACTGTAAACTCGTCGGTTGTCCAAAGCAGGCACCACTGGTCTTCTGTTTCTTTAGGCAAGGCTCATCAAATGTGAAATCCTCCTCCTCCACTTCCTCTTTCTTTGCACGAAATCCAGGTAGTGATGACCCCTCGCCTGCCCATGTGTCTGCCTGATGGGCGTCTGACACAATAAATGACACCCTCTACAAGAAAAAACAAGCGAAAGAAAATAGAGAGATAGGGGAATTTTTTTTTAAAAAAAGACTGTAAAAATAGTGGTTAGTGATAGGATACATACTTTATTAAAAGGTAACATCGGTGATAGCTAAAAGAGAGCTTTGCTGACTTCATAAAGTGTTGCAGAGAGAATGACAACTTTATTCACAAAATCACAAAATTATTCACTCAATTGGATGCTCGTCATGCAAATATTTTGGTGTGCACAGCTCAGTCACACACAGATATTTAAATATTATCTATTTCATCTTCTTCTTTGTGCATGTATGCAGATGTACTCTAAAAAAGCCATTCGTCTTACCTCCTGCTTCATTCTGACACTTGGCCCACTCTTTTCAGCCCCTGGACCATCTCTCTGTTTTTCTCCTTCGTCTTCTCCTGCCGTATCATCTTTTTTGCCTTCATCAATATTTTTCCTCTTTGTTCCAGCCAACCCAGATGCAGCAGAATCCTTTGCAACTTTCGGGGCCTGTGTTTTTCGCTCTGCTGCAGGTTTGCGAGGCGCCCTTGGTTTAGGCACTTTAGGCGCCTTTGGTTGTTTGGGTGCTTGAGGCTCTTTTGGTTTAGCAGTTCTCTTGGCAGCTGCTTTCTTCTCCCCGGCTGCGGGGGCTCTGGCAGTCTTGCTGGGGGCTTTTGGCTTTGGCTCTTGTGGCTTCCATTCCTCACAGTCCTCATCACTGCTCACTGTCTGGGAAAAGGACCTGGTGGTAGAGTAGGAACAAAATGAAAAAATCATCTAATTCTAATACTAGAATAGGATTTATCTCTCTCTGCTGAATGTTTTCCCCAGGTTTACCTGCCCTCCTCCAACATAATAACACAGGCTAGTGTCTTTAGTGGATTACATATTCTTTTTTGCAGTGTAATGATGTGGGTGTGTGCGTATCTGTTAACGTCATTCCTAAAAATAACGGTGAAGATAGACCCCAGTGTGCACCCGAGACACTAAGCAGTAATATACTATTGTTGCAGAAAATTAATGAATGGAAATCACTTACAAGTCGGAGTCCATATCTCTGTAGTCTGTGACTTTGGCAGTTGTCGTTCTGGGTCTTCGCATCATCTGTTAGAAAAGGTTATTAGTCAGCTAGCGTCACATTAAAACTGTGACGTTAACGTTACCGTTAAATTCATAAGCTAACTGACATGAAATTATGGTCAGCGCTAAGGTTTCTACAGGTTAGCTAGCTAAAGCTAACGCTATATAACGTCTCACAGCAATGACAGTTAAACAGAAAGCTGGAATATGTTGTCTGTGCTTACTTTAACAGCAGTAGTGTATTTACTGAAGCAGACATAAACTTGCCGAGGTTTGCTAGCTTTCCCAACCAAAGTTAGGTTAGCCGTTATTTCAAATTTGGCGCTCCACGTCGACGCTAGCAACGTTAGCCGGCTAAATACAACGACAGCTCGGCACATAAATGTATGACATTGCGTTCCCGTGCGTCAGAAAGAGTAAAAGACAAGTTGTACCTTTAAACCGTTGAAAACGCTCCAATTGTTTTTGGGTATTCCGTCTGAAATGTAGCCGGTGAAGCAGAAATTTCTGCTTCCTGCAACAGTAACGGTTCAACCAATGACGACATCCGAATGTCGAGCACGTGCCCATCTCTTCTTCCTCATCGGTTAGCACATTAGCATACAGACCTTCACCGCCCCCTGCTGGACTGGAGTGTACTGCAATAAATTGACTACTAGAAAATATAAAATCATTTTGGTTTCACTATGATGATTCAAGAAACGTTCAGGCTGTTTTTAAACTTTTTTTTTATTATACTTCTTAACACATAAAATAAACAGATTCAACAATAGCTACAATACAATGGCTACAATAACTAAGCATCTGCCTTAGATCCATGATATATGATTTACAGAGCACATGACACACAAAAAATACACTAATGTAAATATTTTGCATTAGTATAAATCTTATCTATGTACACATGCATATACATAAGGAAACGCTTGGTCCCATTACAGTCAACAGTGAGCGCGTTTACATGCACACTAGTAAACCGATCATTATCTGATTTCTGGAGTTACCTGATTATTCGAGTGGTCATGTAAACAGCATAATCCGATAGGCTTTATCAGATAAAAGCCATTATCTGATTATGAGAAATCAGATAAACACATCTAGCTTTTTCCCCAATCGTCAGATTATTCGGTGCATGTATACCCTTTAATCTGGTTTCTTTAGGGTTTTGCTATTTTATACTCCCACTCCACTACATTTTAGAAGGAAATATTGTACTTTCTACTCCACTACGTTAATCTGACAGTTTTTGTTTCCTTTCAGATAAAGATTTTACATAAAATAATATATTTTTATATTCTCAGTGTTTAAATTGTCACTTTTATTTTATGTTACTTATATGTTATGCACTTTGTGTGACAAGTTTATATACAATACACTTGTATATTGCTCTTTGCAGTACTTTTACTCCGAATCTGCCCATAGTATGTAAAATTGGCTCCACATTGATAAACTACACATTAGAATGTTCTCACATGTATTTGTTAATGATAAAAACAAACAGTACTGTAAGAACATAAGCTGTTAGCATGATGAGTGCTTTATTTTGCAAATATATGACTTCCGTACTTTTCAAGGTTTTTCAAGGATATGAGTACCTACTGTAACAGGAAGTATAAGTTTGTATAAGTATAAGTCATGTACTTGAGGAGAAATCCAACTGAAGAACTGAATCATGTAAACCAGGTTTTTCTGATTATCAGATTATTGAAGTGCACGTAAACGCGTCAAATCGGATTATTACCATTACCTGATTATTCCCAGTTATCTGATTATTGTGCGCATGTAACTGTGCTCAGTGATGCAACAAATAAATATCTGGAAAGAAAATAGGAAAAATAAAGAAAAAGAACATTTAAGAAAAAAAATCCTTATCCCATTTATAACCCCAAAATGTGAGTCAGCCAGTTTTGATTATTGCCATCTATTGTTCCTTTTAAAACAATAGGTTTAAGTAATTTACCAGTATATCTAAAGGAGGACGATGTGATTCTGCTGGCTTCATCACACCATGACCTCCGTCATGCCCTGGGCCAGTTTGCACCTGAGTGTGAAGCAGTCAGGATGAGAGTCAGCATCTCCAAATCTGAGGCCATAGTTCTCAGCCAGAAACTGGTGGATTGCCCCCTCTGGATTGGGAGTGAGTTACTGCCTCAAGCGAGGGAGTTTAAGTATCTCAGGGTCTTGTTCCCGAGTGAGGGTAGAATGGAGTGTGAGATGGATTGGCGATTTGGTGCTGTGCCGGACTGTTGTAATGAAGAGGGTTTGATTTTCCAGGTCCATCTACATCCCAACCCTCACCTATGATCATGAGCTCTGGGTAGTGACCAATAGAATGCGATCGTGGATACAAAGCCAAAATGAGTTTCCTCCGTGGGGTGGCTGGGCTCAGCCTTAGAGATAGGGTAAGGAGCTTGGACATCTGGTGGGAGCTCGGAGTAGAGCCGCTGCTCTATTGTGTTGAAAGGGGTCAGTTGAGGTAGGCACCTCCTGTTAGAGGTGCTCTAGGCACGTCCCACTGGTAGGAGGCCCCAGAGTAGACCCAGGACTCGCTGGAGGGATTGCATATCTCGTCTAGCCTGGGAATGCCTCGGGGTCCCCTAGTGGGAGCTGGAAAGTATTGCTGGGGAGAGGGACATCTGGGGTACTTTGCTCGGCCTGCTACCCTGCAACCCAGCCCCAGATAAGCAGATGAAAATGGATGGATGGATGGGCCTCCAAGTCTTTAAAAAAAGTCCTTACTTTAGCTTATATTCAAATATGTATGTTAGATATCCCATTGGTATTAGGTCAAATATAAGGAGGTGTATCATCTGTTCATCTGAGCAATGTATTTGTTCAGGCAGCAAACGTAAACCCTCTTGGATGCCAGCTTTTGATACGAGGACTGGCTAAACCAAGAAGCAAAATCTGACTTGACCTGAGATTAAGTGTCAAGCTGGACTTTGAAAATCAAGTTATTAATAATGATTTTAAAATCAGCATCCACTGCCTATCTCAATCTGTTCTATCTCTCTTCTTCTATGATCTAACTCATAAAAGAGGACGAGGAAACTGTGTTATAAATTCAATCTCTATGAATGACTGAGACAATTTATTTTTGTGTCTGACCCTGACTGTTTTTGAGTTCCCGTAAAAGGTTCAACTGTCTCACCATAGCCCCCCCGTGTCCCCCACTGCGCTTTCACTTCCTTTAATTAACCACTACTCGAACATCAGACTTCCACTATATCTTAGTTTGATGCAACCTTTCAAAAGAGAAAGCTTAGCCCAACAAAAAACACAAAAACTATTTGTGTTGGCTCATTATTTATGTGATACTTTGTTTTGTTTGTCCATATTGAGAGAAGCAGTGCATGATCTATTAGATGTCTTCAAACAATGTGGGTCAGATTCTCAAATACTTAAGAAACTGGAAATGTTATACATGTGGATCAGCTACAGCAAAGGATTTATTAGGTGGATTGGACATTTATATATGTTTTTAGTATAGATATGAGTAGTGGTAAGAAGACATGAAGCAGAATATGTTGATGTTATTTGATGTGTAGGTGTGTGTAGGTGTAAAGTTTATCATTATGTCAATGATGATGACATACCATAACACCTTGATTGGATTGTGGGGCCTACTAATTGAGGTAGAGGTTATGGTTGGGGGCAATAAATAAATTAATTAATTAATTAATATCAAAAGATTACTACTAACAATATGAATGCAGGAATTGGTAGCCAACCAAAAAAAGTATAACCCATGGTACAAATCAGTGTCCATATTATTAATGTAATATTATCATATATTAATGAAAATTTAAACCATATAAAGATATACATTTAGATTATAAAACTCTAAACCAACTGTTTAATGATTGCCCCATGTCTTTATACTCTGCCCCTGGTAACAGATGACGCGTCACCAAGCGTAACCAATCAGAAATTCGGTTTTTAAAAGAATCCAGTCAGACTACAATTTGGTTAATCAGGGTTGGGAGATGTGAGAGTGGGTTTTCCCCCGCCTGTTACTTTCAGTTCCTTGTGTCTCTGCTCAGCCTTAAAGGTTAAACAATCACAGAGCTCTGTCATTTATATTTGTGAAACAGCTTGCAACTAGACCTGAGATAAGGTATACTTTCTGTGTGTGTGTGTGTGTGTGTGTGTGTGTGTGGTTTGTGTCAGCTGCATCCTGTTTTGTGTTGAAACACCTTTGTGGATGTGATTGTGTGTGTTCACAGGTTTGTGTGAAGATGTCCGATCCTGAGGTCCAAAACCAGCCTCTCCTGGCACCCCCCAACCCGCAGCCCGACATCAATGCTCAGGGGTAAGGAAATATCAGTGTACTTGATTTTCTGTCTTTATGGGGTCTCAGCACTAGGACCAAAAATGTACCCCCTTCAGCATTAACCATCAACTGTAAATTAGTTTTTGAAATTTATTTGATGTGGATGTTGGGTATTATGTGCATGTTTTTCTGTGTGTGTGTGTGTGTGTGTGTGTGTGTGTGTGAGAGAGAGAAAATAATTTCCTGTGGGATGTAATGTTGCTTTGTCTTGGGTTGTTTTATTGGGACCAAACAAACAGTGATAATACATGTTTTAACCCATTTATTACTAACTATGTATACTTGAATTTTCAGGTAACCATTTTGTAAATCACAGTGCTCTTCTTCAGATCATTTAATGTATATTTTCTATCCTCTAATCAGCCATTTGCATCCATTCATCTCCACTAAAATCAATCAGCAGACACACGAAAATTGGTTGGTTTGTGAAATTCATGACACTGAATAAATAGGCAGACTTATGTAATCTGTCGGCACTTACCAAACATTACCAGACAACAACGATTGAACAAATATCAATCTGTATCAAGTCTTTGTTTATTTTCATATTGTACAGAAATTTATGGAAACCAGTTGTTGTGTGAAAAGCAAGAAATGCATCCAAAAATATAAAGTATACATGGAGTTGTGATTGTATGTCTTCATTATTCTTCTTCATTATTTTATTATTTATTTCATGTACTTGAGTTTGTTTTGATGAATAAATGCCCCTTTATTAGAAAGAAATCCACATCAACGCATTAAAAAACAAGACGATTGTAGTGTCAGTTCATGCCTGAATGAACACGTCATTTAGCTGAGATTTAAACCTGATATTTACAGCAGTGGGAATTTCCAAAAAAGACCTTGGTAAAAGCTGAAAAAGGGAAAAGGCAGTTAAGAAAAAATCGCAAACTCTCACTAAAGTGTCTGCTTGGCAACAGCTGATTTTATTGCTTGGTTGGTGGTGACATACAGTAAATAAATACCATGGCTGAGGTTCCTGTTTCATCGAACTGCTGGGATTCTCAGTCTCTGTCATGTTCCTCATACTTTGCATTGTTCTCTGCTGCTCCCTCACTTTCTATCTCTTCTTCTCTCACTCAAGGATTTAGATGTGTCCTACTTGTCAGTGGCAGTGAACTATTGTCTGTAGGGGATGGGCGACATGGCTTTAAGATAATATGATATTTCAGAGTATTTATTCTTAACGATATGACAAGTTAGTGAAAAAAAAATTGTAATTCAAGAATGTAGGACTGCCGAAAAATAAGTGATATAATTTCACGTCAGCCTTAGAGTTTGCCTTTAAATATTCAGTAAAAACTACACAAACATGAACTCTCATTTCTTTAGTCTACCACAAATTACACATTTAAACAGCTCCCAAATACAAAATATGTCCCCTGGGATCTATTTATATAAATCAACAGATGATTTCCTTCTTTTAGTAAAATCCCAAGTAGCAGAGTTTGTTTTTTTCCCATCTGGACATTTATGCTCTGCCATTTCTCCTCTAATCATCACGCTGTAACCTGCGACAGGCTGTTATGATACCACAACTATCACACGTTCACATACAGTATATGGATTTTTTTTGTTGAGCTATGAGCGTCACATAGGTTTACATTACCAAAGGTTTATGACAAAATCACTTAATGATACTGACTCCTGCGTGCGCACGGCGAGAGAGGAGAGGGAGAGAAGCTGTGCTGCTGCCAGAGGAGCCGCTGAATGAGTTCCCTCTGAGCGGTAACTCGCTAAAAGAGTCTGAGAAGTCCGGGGCTGTTCATAAAACATTCAGGATGCCACAGTTTATTCCACACTACTGAAGCTGCTTCTTGTTTTTGGAGCCACCGCGGAGTCTGTAATAATTTTGCTTTCAGCTTTGCTTGTTGTTGCCATGGGTAACAGTATGATGTCACATGTCAACAAGTCGAAATATCACGAGTATCACAATATGATTATATGTCATATTTAAAACTTATTCTTCATGTCTCTAAGTGTTTAACTGTGCTCTGGTTCCATTTTTATATGTGCATTTCCTACAAATTAAGTTTCTCCTCTTCTTCTCTACCTCCACTCCCCTCACCTCCTCCTTCCTTCTTCCTCTTCTTGCCTCCCAGCGGCCGCTCCACCCGGGCCTATAAGGTGGCAGGTATAACCCTGCTGGCCTGTATCCTGATTGTCGGCCAGGCGACCATCGCCTACTTCCTCCTCAGCCAGAGGGGCGACATCAAATCTCTGAAGGAGCAGAACAACAACCTGAAGTCCCAGCTGACCAAGGGAAGATCTGGTGAGGAGGCTGGAGGGATTTATTGTACGCTGTTGGAATTTAGCAGAATGTCCATCTTGAGAGCAGCTAAATAATATAATGAAATGATAAAAAGTGAGCTGTAATATTGCTCATTAGATTGATGATGAATTAATGAATTTCTTCCTTTTATTTTCTAAAATTAAAAGCTAATTAAATCTTATAAGGTTATGACAGTGATCTGACGGAACTGGTCAAGCTGCATTGTAGGCAACTGGTCGTATGCTTAAAATTCAAACTAGACACGATCCATGGTTCTGTCTCTGCTGGAGTGAAGCTTTCATTTTCTCAGTCTGTTTTTTCTCCCTCTCACACACACGGTTCTCTTTCTATCTACAGTTGCTGTGCCCGCAAGGATGCACATGCCCATGAACGCCTTGCCTGAGCTGATGGATGTCTCTCTGGACGGGGTAAAAACAATAGTTCAATACCAGACTTTTGAAGCTGATAGTAATATCAGTATTAGAGTTTCAGAAATCCTCTAATGATATATTGACTTTCTGGCATAATTATATATAAAACACTCTTTATCTATTGCATTTCTTGTTGCAAACATGCTGATACTGGATAAGATAATATCCCATACAAAAGTCAAGGTGTAGTTACAGTAAAGGTACAGGTATATTCAGAATTTAATGATATGATTAAAAAAACACAGTAACACTCATGTTTCCGTCTTGTTCCTCTTGTGAAATGAATTTTAAGATGTGATTTCCATCTTTCTCTCTGTTCTTATTTCCCTGATTGTATTGCAGGATGATTCCACCCGAGCCCCAGGCCCTGGTACGTTATGTATACACTTACTGTATCCATATATGTTTACACTGTGTGTGCACAATGTATGAATTAATAATCAAGGCATTTCAATTTGTGATTATAATTACACGTGACTCCTCTCTTCTCCCAGTCCCTCGGCAGGCCACTGACTGCGAGCTGGAGGCAGCTGGCGTGAAGCCTGTGCCTGTCCCAGGTTTCACCCCCACCTGTGACGAGCGAGGCAACTACAAGGCCCAGCAGTGCTTTAACCAGCAATGCTGGTGTGTGAACCCAGAGAACGGGCTGGAGGTCCCTGGATCCTTGAAAGAAGGACAGGCCAACTGCGGTCGCGTGCTGGTGAGACAAGGTCAGTAGTCGTCAAATTGAGAGATTATGTGCAGTTTAATCCACTGTTTTCATGCTTTTAGGTAATGCGTGTAGTAGATTAATCAAAAAGCGGTCATTGTCTCCCATCAGTAAATCATTATAGGAGCTTGACTTCATGGAAAATAAGATGAATTTCACCACAGCACAAACTTTTTTCACGAAACAACACACACTTTGTTACAGTTTTGCTTCTCATATTGCACATTATAAATTTAATGTTGTGTATTAATGTTATTGTCTTTGTAGGTGGCATGAGCAAACTGTTGCCTCTGCCTGGTCTTGATGCCTGATCCTGTGGTGAGTACACCTTTCCGATTCCTTACGCGTGTATGTAGTCAGTATCTGTGATCTACTGTATTTAGGATGTGATTATACCCACTATACTTTGAAAGCAGTTTAATACAGTCCAATTAAAAAGTGATTTTTTTCAAATTTTCAATATTTTGGTACTTTTAAAAGGGGATCTATTTAAAGGGAAACTGCTTTCTGTTGATGCAAACACTTTGAATCAACTGTATTTCATCATCCTGTTTTCTCTTTCTTCTGTAATTAAAGCTGATGAAATCTCCAGATGCCAGCGTCAGTTCATCTCCAAATCCTGACAAGTTACATCTCTCATCGACTTCTAATCACCATCGCATTTGTAGTACTTAATAAGCTAATGGGGTTTTACATACTGCTGATAATTTACCAATTATAACCATTTACCTGCTTACTATCATCTGCAGCTAATATCGTATGCACAGAGGTGACTTTTGCTATTGATTACATGACATCGTTTTTTAGTTTTTAAATGGCTGGTAAAACTTAAGGATTTTAAATGCTTGTTTTATTCAGATTTTGTCCCATGTTGGTTTGATGAAAAATAACATATATACTTTGTGGGGAAGTTTGTAAAGCGCTGTAAATTGGAAATGTAACAGCATGAACTAAGAGGCCAGATGGCGATTACTAATTAATATATTTTTGTAAAGAGTATTTGGCGAAATGTAAATGACCTCTCCACTGCCTCTTTAATTTATTTTAGGTGTGCTCACTTGAATCTGGAATGTTTGGCTAAAGTTGATTGGATTAAACTGTAATTAAAAATACTGACACACATTTTGGCACAATCAGGAACCAGGAATAATCCACATTTGAGACAACTGCAAACTGTATTTTCCACATTTATTCGAACGACCCAAATAAAATTCTCAAAAGACAAGTGTCTGTAGTTTTCTTTCACAAAATCACAACTGGATTTGAAACTGAGTGAAAACTCACGACAACAAGACAGATGAGCCAGTGAAATAAAGCACCATCAGATGACCCGTTGTTTTCTGTATTCCACGGCATGTCAAGTATTTAAAGAAAAGTTCTACTTAATAAGGAAGAGTAAACATGCAAAATCATAATAGACAGGACGTAAAGAAACTGACAGCATGCAATACAAATACAGCAACACAATGATTGTCAATAGGCACGAGTTGTTTGTGGGTTCCAGTTACCAAACATACACTTAACATAGTTTTCTAAAACACTTTACAGTCAGAGTTAAAATGACAAAATGGGCACAATCTCAATCTGACTTAAAATATGGCTTTTTTAAAAATACCTGTCTCAGGCTTGACTATGTATATATGCATTGTGCGTTCATTTCAACAGCAGCAACACAGTACCTGGGGTCATGTGAAAGCCATCTTTATAATCAAGTGAGCTACCGTTGAAGTGTTTATCTCTAAATTAGGTTCTCAGATTACTGTCCTGCAGCAACAGCATTGTTTCTTGAAATAATAGACATTTATTCATCTTTCAGTTCAAATCTCAATTCCCCAAAAGAAAAAAAAAAATCACCTTTCAGTACGTACGACTCATCCACACATGACACAAACACCAAATTCCAACAAGTAAACATATCACTGATTTTCTTTTACAGGCTCTGATATTTCTTGGACACACAAAAAAAACTACATTGATTGTTGAGAGATAAAGTAACAGCTTCAAACCCCTAAAAGTCACACAAGTGCAAAAGATCTCCTAGTTTCCAGCATATGAAATAGACAGCCAAACCTCACCAGGAAAGGCTATTGCACACATGGCATGAGATAATATCAACTCCAGAGCAGAGTAGGCACTCTTAATATATTATTCTATATATATTAATATATTATTATTCTTATATTTTATAAACAATACTTTAACACACATTTTCCAGTTTTGTTAAAACCCCAACTTAAACTATATCTTTACAAAAGAATGTCACTTTGGTGTGCGTTTTGTTTGTTTTGGTAGTCTACATTACTATTTTAAGCTGTGTGAATATATTTAGAAATATTACGTATTTTTCTGGAAACACTTCTTATTTTTGAATGGAGTGCATAATTGCTGGAGTCACAATTACTTTTCATACACCTCCACAGAAACATGAACTATTATTTCAAAATAATGTTTTACCAGATGAAAAATTGACCTTTATCCACATGTAGAGATGTGTTATGCTTGTAAAGAGGCATCATACAACCCCACACCACAGACTTTGCTCTGACAACCAACAGGTTTTACATTGAAGAGCACCATGAGATGTGAGGTGAGACCATTTTTACATGCTCTATCACCCCCTGAGCAAAAAAGCAAAATGACCGAAGGCTGCTAAAATTGACTTCTGACCACTAAAGGGCAGAAGACAACAGAGAGAACACATTTCTAAAACTCACATGCCTACAGTCCCAGGGATCAAGGGCCACCCTTGTAAACCACCACCAATAAAGGGGCATTCATTCTCCTCTTAGAGAATCTCAACACTCTATCTGAGCAGCAAAATAGATGAGATGTGTGTCTCTGTTGTGAACTGTTTTCCAACACAGCTGACCTGCACATGTGAATATTGGCCAGTTTCATTATATATCAACAAACACAAGCATGTTGTGGTTTCAGGCAGGATAGGGTTGAAGTTGGAAATCAATTGTAGCAACTACATAATATTTAAAATATAATGTTAACATTTTCATTCTATCTGTTCTACTTTATTTATTCATTTATCTATTAATTTCTTGTTCTGTGCTATGTAAATAAGTTAGAGTTACTATATTGAAAAGAAATACAGGGTCTCCTGTCTTTAAATTAAGTGAATTGTATTCTTTCCACATGTTGCTAATATGCTTTATTTATTACAAAATGTATATGTCAGTCACCCATTCCCCATACTCTTGTGGCAAGAGCTCAGATGATCGACTGAATCAAAACAAATATGAAAAGAATCACCTTAATCCATGAGCTGACTTGCTACTTTAGAATTTTCCTATTTACTCATCTATGTTAAAGGTGAAAATAACTATGAAGCATTTTTGACTTTTGAAATACGCATCTGTTCCCGTATGTAGCTGTAGTGGCACCTTCTGCCTGTAGTCTCTCTCCCTCCTCTCTCCTCTTTTTACGTTTCTTCCTTTCTTCTCATTTGCGTCCTCCTCTCAGGTTCCGCATGTAGTCTTTGATGGTGTTCTCAATGTTGGGAACGGCGTAATTTTGTGCCGCATAGATTCCCGTACACGTTCCTACTGCAACACCCATCAACGCTGAGGAGCGTAGCCTCGCAACAATGTACCCGGCCAGAAAACCTTTCAGGAAAGGAGAAGCCAGCAGACTGCCTCCCTGAGGAGGAAAGGAGATGAGATATTAAACCTGGTAACAGTAGTCTGACTCTCTCTTTATGTTTACATCTGCATCCTAGCAGTTTATATTTTCATAACTGTCTGGCCTGTGAGCAAAAATTCAACGCAGAGTAACCTGAACATGTATATATTTGTGCGTGTGTGAGCCTTACTGGAGGAACGCCAGCCTGTATCTCATCCTCCATCCGTTTCTGAATGTCTTCCAACTGGTCCTTCAGCTCCACCAGGTCCTTGAGCTGCCCCAGGGGTCCCTATATACACATGGAGACAAACAAAAAACAGGTTGCTGTAGCTGACAAGGGACTCCTAAATAAAACACATCTCAAAATTGTGAAATATTTTGTATTATGTACTATGAAAATAAAGACAGACAAAACCTTAAAATATAAATGTAAACTGTCTTTGCTGGTAATTCTCATTTCTCAGAGAACTGTAAACCAAGTAACAAACAATTTACATTACCGGACCCTTTCAACAATAACTAAACTTACTTTTAGAGCAACTTCATATTCAGCCATGCCTTATTTTCCACTAAGGAATGAATTATTAATGTTGGTGTTAGTGATAATAAAAATGTTATGACATTAGAAAGCATGATGTTTCTATGGACTGATAAAGATGGGTGATCATTAATTCACTATTCTTATCTGTTGTGTTAGCTAAGAGGTAATAAATCCACTTACACCATCATTATACGTTAGAGTATTTCTAATACAGCCAGCTAGGCTGACGTTACAACCTTAGTTGACTTCTCTGGATTTTTGTTGCGATTAGTACTGTTATTTTACACTCTAAAACAGTCAAATTAGATTAGGCACTGTAGGTCATGCTTTCCTCGTCTGCAAACCGGCTGTCTTAAGCATTAAAGTAAACACACGTTAGTTTTTCTCAGTTGGAGACTAACTTTTCAAAGTTCTCACTAAGTTAGCAAACGTTAGCTAGCTAACTGATAGATAAATAAGCTAAATTACGATCAGTTCATTCGTTCTTAGTTATAATTAACATCGTATTATAGCACTGAACATATGTCTTAAAAACCCCCACTACAAAAGCTTAATTTTATAGTTGGCCAGTTAAGATAGCTAGCGTTAGCCACTAGCTACTTGACACTCAGGTTAACGCTAACTAAGCTAAGCTAACCACCACTAGTTTACTACGTCACGTTACGATAGCCTACAACCTGTGGCTAGCGTTAAATGATGACTGTTGAATGACTGTACGTTAGGCGGGTCGTTATGACAATACTGTAACGCCAAATATCTACAGAGTAAAGTTAGCGGAGAAGGTTGAAAACTCCGACCTTGTCATCTGCCATAGTTTCTCTGTTGATGTGTCTCTTCTTCTTCTACGCTCGTTTTCCTCTACTTCTTCTGTGGCGTTTTATGGCAGTTGGCATCTATAAGCGTGACATTACCGCCACCTACAGGATTTTATCAGTTTTGCAGTGTCAACCCAAAGTGATCCCATTCATGCCATTTTCCCCTCAACTTCTTCTTTTTTCGTTTTACTTGTGCTTCGTTTTGGGGGGTTTACAGCAGTTGACATCCTTTACTCGTCCATGCATTTTTCCTCAGTTGACTTGACCACTGTAACAGTGTCTTTCAAAACGCTGCTGCTTGAGTTCTCACTAAGACCAAGTGGATCACATCACTCCAGTGCTGAGGTCTTTACACTGGCTTCCTGTCTGTCAGAGAACCTATTTCAGAATACTGTTGGTTTATAAAGCACTGCATGGTTTAGGGCCCAAATACATTTCTGATCTTCTGCTACACTATGAACCATCCAGGCCTCTCAGGTCCTCTGGGACAGCTCTGCTTTGTGTCCCCAGAGTCGAGACTAAACACAGGAAGGCAGCGTTACGTTTTATGCACCTCAAATGTGGAACCAACTCGCAGGAAACTGCAACTCTTAGTTCTCTCTTCTTAGTTCTCTGTCTTTGTCATTTTTTTGCTCATTTTTATTTTTTTATTCTCCAGCTATTTAAGTTTTTAATTGCATTTAAATGTCCCTTTATAATGTGTTTCTTTTGCACTTTATCTTGCTGCTTTTGATGTTTAATGTAGAGCACTTTGAACTGCCTTGTTGCTGAAATATGACTGTATAAATGAACTTGCCTGCTTACGGTCTCATTCTGGCTTTAACTGTCTCATATTACCCAGTGTAAAAAAAACTTAATATCCATTTTCTCCCCTCTACCGTGTCCCCTAGTCTCTGTAGCCCTGTAACCATAGCGCCTCTTTCCCCTTCATACTTCCTGCATGAAATCCTGACACAGTGCACTCTTCTTTTCCAATGACCAGTTGTTTATTTCTCTGTGACAAAATTTATACTATTCAAGTTGCCAACTCTTAACCTCCTCATAAACACTTGTGCTTTTGTGTTGGTTCCACGTATTCTTACCCTCACTTACTTAATTTTGCACTTCATGTGAGCCTAAGTGTCTCACAATCCCAACACTGTCGCCACTTTTTGCTCATCTGCCTCAAATCGATGCTTTTCAACTCAAATTTTGAAGGTTTAATATTCTGTTAAATCTGTAAGTAGCTTCAGGGAAAATTCTATGAGAGAACAAACTACAAGTAACTGTTTTAAATATGACAACTTTATTAACTCTAAATGTAAATATCTTGTTTATCAAATCTATAGAATGGAAAAAAAAAATCAAGAATTAGAAAACAACTTCATGTATTTGAAGGAAGCTGGTAAAAAAATGGGTGAGGTATTCAACACATAGTATTTCTAATGACAACCACCAAATAGAGAAAACATACCTCAAAGCACATTTGCACAGTGTCACATCATTTTGAAGAAACAAGTCGACTCGAAACCGAAGCAAAACAGTACACACACTTTTCAGATTAAACGTGCCCCAAGTGAGGAGAGGTGTGTGTGGAGCCAACACTCGAAGCCCTCCCACTCTTTAGCGGTCCAATCAAATGTGAAGATTCTATTAAAATCCCTCTTACATCTGTACATCGCTCAAATATTCACTTTCATTGGGAAATGTGTCGCAGTACAGAAGCTAAAGACGCTCTGACTAGTGTTTCATTGGGAGTTTAGCATCATGGTTCCTCTCCTGTATGAATGACCATGTCTCCTCAGTATTTATTTCAGGAAATACCTTTTCCCACACTCAAAGCACTGAAACTGCTGCTCACCAGTACTGCATCTTACATCACTTATTATTTTGCAGTGAAGGTCTCTAGTCTCTTTCCAATCATTACTTTCATTCAGCCTCAAATACCATGATTAATTGATCATTTTACCTCAGTTACGATTAATGAATGTTTATTTTGTTTTTTGCCCCCAGAGTTCACCAACAAGGATTTATAATGCTAACTATTAGAGCTGGGATATTTTCTCTCAGGAAAGAGAGCATGTCCTATCTTTGTGATTTAAAAATACTTGAAGGAAACAGATTATTCTCATGAATCTTTTTCATATTGTGCAGTCTGTGTAAATGCTTGTGTTACTGAGAGCTGCTTTGTTGAGGCGCTTGTTGCTAGGCGCCTGTCATTACATCTCTTTCATTGTGTCTGGTGAAAATGTGTCCAAACAACGAACACTGTATTTCTCTTCGGTAAAAGCTGCTCAACTAGATCGGTTGGCTCTGTGTTTGAGTTTCCAGGTCACTGATTGGACGGGGCAGAGTCACATGACTACACATTTAGTCGTACATTTTTAATAGGACAGGACATGAACACACACAGTGGGAAAACTATCACAAGAATAAAAAACAAAAAAAAAAACAAAAAAAAACAACTGAATGACAGACATGGGCAAGATTCTGAAGGTCTGTTAGAGCGATTCATTTTCAATTAATTGCCCAGCCCTGGACAGTTATATGACCTTTCTCACTCAACGATTAACTGTATGGTTTCTCTCCTTGGTGCAGGGGTGTCCAAACTCTTTGGAACGGGGGCCATATTAGATAATGTGCAAACACCAGGGGGCCAGCTGCTTCTTGCATCTTGTGTTACTGGGAAAAAAAAATCATATACTCATGAGAAATCCAACTGTTTCCTGCTTCAGTGAAAAGGGATTCAACTTGCCAAGGCTCCTAAAACCATTGCTGTCGACTTTATACTTCTACCTAGAGTGAAACCGTTTGTCTACTTCTTTACCATCTGTTTGTGAAAAGACATTGTTCCCTCCTGCAAAGTACCTATTTGGTGCATGTTAATGAACTGTATGACAGTGCTGCCATTGTGAAAAATGCAAAGCGAGCTTGCTTCATTAGCCAATATTGAGTGGCAGGCCACATATTTTGAAAAACTAGTCGGAGGCCTTTTAAAATTGGTCTGGAAATATGACACTGGCTACCTGTCACTCAGAGAACTGATTTCAAAATCTTGCTGCTTGTGTATAAATCACTCTGTGGCTGAGTGCCAAAATATTGTTCTGACATGTTTGTGACAAATTAACCTTCTATGACCCTGAGGACATCTGGGGCTGGCCTACTGACCGTCCAAAGAGTCAGAACAAAACATCGTGACGCAGCAATTTGTCATCATGCAGCAAAAACCTGGAATAACCTCCTAGATGATGGCGGACATGCTCCGTCTCTGAGCTAAAAATCTTTTTTACACTGCCTACTCCACCCTGTAACGACTGCAACCTTATTTCAAAACTCAGTTTCAAATCATTTTAAATAATCTTTTTATCTTTGAACCTGGCAATTTTTTAAAATTTTAAATCATTTACTAATTGATAGTACACATATTTTATTGCTCTGTAAAGCACTTTGAATTGCCCTTGTGCATTAAATGTGCGATACAAATAAAGCAGCCTTGCAGGCCACGATTGGCCCCCAGGCCAGACATTGGACATCCCCGCCTTAGTGAGTGTTCTTGAGCCCATTCTAACCTTTTTTTAACCAACCTCAGAGCAGCAGGTGTTACATCTTGAATCACTTACGGGGATTTTTCCAGAGAATTTAAATCTGACTGAGCTTTACTTGTCTCCTTCTGATCACCATCATCCCCGTCTTCACTCTTGTGAGTCTCAGGGTCACAAGAGTCTCCTAACTTGTCATTAGTAGTATTTGGTTCTGGATGTCTATCTGTGTCTAAAGTCCTGACTGGTTCTGGTCCTACACAGTCCCTTCTCTCAGTTTTTATTTCCATTATTTTTATTACCATCTGTTTTTCCCCAGTTTCAGTCTGATGACGCCGTGCGGGCGGATTAACACATCGATGTCTCCTGAGGTCGAGTAACCGAGAGAATCTTTGGTCACAATAATTGCAGATGAATCTTTTTTCTCCTTTGTGGATATTCATGTGTCTGGTCAGATTCCCTAGGGTGATATAACTTTTCCCACACTCACAGCAGATAAATGGTTTCTCATCCATAACACTGACAGGGACTTTATCATTTTTCGAAGGGTTTAAGCCTGTGCGAGAGTTTCTGGTCTCCCTCCAATAATCCTCACTGTCATCAGTCTCCGGTTCGGAACAGTCTTCAGGCTTGAAATCAGAATCTGATTCGGGATGTTTATCTGGCTTTGAGTTCCTGTCAGGTTCAAATTCTTCATGGTACTCTTCTTCAGTGCATGTTTCCGTCTCTTCAGCTGAGCTGTTGACTGGAGGCTCTACCTCACTGTTCTTTTCAGCTTGAGTTCCATGAATCTGTGAGGACAGACGCCCAGCGCACTCATCATCAATGTCTTCAGTTTCAGGTTCAGGGGAGTCCCCAGCCTTGTCTTGTCTGGAAGCGTTCTCTTCAGTTTGGATTCTCATGTGTTCATATAAATTTCCAACCACTGTAACAATTTTCTCACAAGCTGTGCAGCTGAATGGTTTCTCTTTGGTGTGGATTTTCAAGTGTGTTTTACTCACTGTAAAAGACATCTTACACACTGGGCATGTAAAAGGTTTCTCTGTGTGGTTTCTCACGTGTTCTATTAAAGAAAGACTTCGAGCAAAAGTTTTCGGACAGTATGAGCAGCCGAATGGTTTAATTCCCGAGTGGATTCTCATGTGTTTCTGTAACTTTGCATTCACTGAAAATTTTTTCGTACAGATCGAACAGCTGAAAAGTTTCTCTCCTACGTGGATTTTCATGTGTCTCACTAGACTTGCAGTCCCTCTAAAAGATTCCTCACAAACACTGCATGTGTAAGATTTCTCTACAGTGTGGACTTTCATGTGTCTATCTAAGTGAGCACGCCCCGGAAAAGATTTCTTACAGACTGAGCAGCTCCACGTTTTTTTTTCCCCTGTATGAGCTCTCATGTGACTCACCAGGTGTGCCTTCAATCTAAAGGTTTTCTCACACTCAGGGCAGCTCAGTGGTTTCTTGCAATTCTTAGATTTAGTATCACTTTCAGAGGCTTGAGAACTTGAGTCATCATCAGTATCTGACTGTAAATATCTATCTGGATTTGAGTCGTTGGCTGCATCAGGTCCTCCATAGTCCTCTCCATCAGCTTCTGTTGCCATCTGTTCAATTTGTCTTTGATGAAGCTGTGAGTAGTGAGGGTTCTCTTCCACATCTTCGCTCTCCACAGGGACAGAAATGAATGGGAACCTAGTGACATCAGCCTCCTCCAGCCCTTGAAGCCACTCCCCCTCCTGATTGATACAGAGTTCCTCCTGTTCCTCTTTAACGTGTGGGGCTTCCTGGTCGAGACTGGAGCTCCACTCCTGTTGCTCAAAGGGAACCTCTTCTTTACCCACCAACAGCACCTGGATGTCTGCAGGAAACAGTAAACACACACAGAGATGTTTCAAAGATGATGTTGTCCATTCACATCATAGCTCAAAAACTTCTTATTGAAATTCTACAGATCACTTCACACGGTTCACTCAGCCGTGTCAGGTCTCTGTACAGCATCTTTGTGTGACTGCAATATGCTGTTAGACAGGCCTGGACTGTGGTGTGATGTGAGTGTGATATCTATGGTCATTCTCATATTAGCTGTACAGTATCTGCATTACATGCTTTCTAATTCCACAGACATTTAGTGCAAGTCAAATGAAACAGCTCGTGGCAAACTGAATTAACACTACTTGTAGCTAACAGGGAAAGCTGAGGCTGGTTTTAAGGAGCAAAACAGTGGTGTGTGGAAAGCCGACAAGGTCATTTAACATCTTCTTTCCCTGTTATTCAGTGTTTCAATATAGTTTTATATCACAAACTGGTGTTTATAAAAGCTGTTGCAAACGCTGGCTGTGAAAGCCGCTCTATGCACCTACATGTGTGCCTGAACACCATCTTGTACGGTGACTACAACCCAAGTGTGCATCTGTGTCCACCAGGAAGGCAGGAAGCAAAAAAGGTCGGCTTTTTTACATTTTTCATCAACTTTTTTCCTCACTTTATTGAATTCAAATTGTTCACATCTGTTACTAATACTGAAAAAATGAAAATAATTCAAATTTGGAAATGAAATAATCTAAATAAATAATTTAAAATAACATAATGTGCCTCATAATGTTCATAATTCTTGGGGGTCATACAGATTAAAAAAATTATTGCTTTTAATATGCCTCAAGGATTTTCAAAAGACAGCCAATTCATTTTTAAATGCCTCAAAAGGTGATTTACATTTGTGTGAATATTTTGCCAGCAGAATTAAATTGTTCACAAGATATTCAGTATATCAGTATTAGTGGCAGTCATGTTGTTAGTTGTACTGTTTGTCATTTAAAGATTATTTTTTGGGGCTTTTTATTGCTTTATTGGCAGCACAGCTTAAGGATGTGTTGTACTATGTAATATAGTGGAAATGATCTAATTCAGTAAAATCTATGCAACATTTAACATTATGTAATGTAAACTTTTAGGCCTCTGTATTATGTGCCACGAAGCAGAAAGAATGTGAAGTAACCTTGCATTTTGTGTCTTGTCAGGATGTCACAAACATGCCTAACATGTTGTACTTGATGTCCGAGGACATGACTCTATAAGATGGCCCAAACTGTTCTGTCACCCCCTCTGATGATGCTAGTTTAAGATAATGGGAACTGACCCCCCTCCCTGACCTCAGCCATTGACAGTGAGTAGATGGACTCAACAAAAAATGAGAATGAGTTCAGTGAAAAGAGCAAGCCCTGGACAACTGCTGAGGTCAGGGAGGAGGTGTGAGCCCACCAGTAAAACCAAAGAAGAAGACTGCGCTTCATTAGTTGTTCAATGTGCCCTTTTTAATTTCCCCTCTTGCAGTTGCCTTTGGGGAATCCCTGTCGCCATAATAGGTGCTGTTTCATTGTCTGAAAAACTGAGCTGAGCTGTGTGAGATCTACCCTCACGATGGTCACTCCAGAGGTATATATCACCCACGATGCATTGCAGCTATGCATTTGATGCAGGCAAATACAGAACGTACAGAGCACCACCCAGTGTTACAAAATAAATATGCACTCCCCTTACACAACTTTTCCTCATCTATATATCTGCCAGAAATATCATATTTGTACAGATTTTTAAGTGATTTATATTTCTACTTTGTTTCAACCGAAATATTTAAATGCACGTGATTGTGCTCGTGTGTTCCCTGTGTTGTGTACTGTCCTGATCGCTCTGTTTTGAAGTTTGTATAATGATTTTAAGTTGCTTTTGAAAGTGTTGCCCCACAGTACTTCCACCCAGTAAGTCAAATATGGTAGTACATGCGATGCATATAGTATATGCAGTGATTTATAGACCAGTATCATTATTTGCAGATGTCTTCACCTCACTGAAAGGAGTCTGCAGGTATTTCTAGTGATTTGTAAAAAGCAGAAGGGGCTGAGGGTTAGTGAATGAGGGGAAGTCGAACTATGAATGGAACCTTGCCTTAACTTTACATCTAAGGGAGGAATATAGACTCCTACTGACTAAGCACGAAGCTAATGGCACAGCGTGGCTTTTGAACGTTGAAACACCGTTAACAAAGGACAAACCTTCTCTGTGTAACCGAAGCTGAGGGTTGTAAACAGCGTCCAGTAGTTTCCGTTGTCGCATGCTCTCCATCTGTGATCGACAAAGTTCCTCCTCGTACTCTGCTATTGTTCTTTCAAACAGCCCAAATATCTCCTCGGCAGCTGCAATAAGTCGCTGCTGCACCACCGCCCTCAGCATTTGGGCTTTAGTCATTTTCACACACAGAAACAGAAACTTTTTTCCACGCTAGCTACGTTAAAAACAAAGCTCTGGCTGGCGCTGTGTCGCTAACTGCCGTCCGCGTCAGTTTCCGGCTAGCATGCTAAGCTAACTTCCGTAGCTTTGTCGGCTGTCGGGAGATAATGGAGGTCATTTAAGATAAAAATGGTCGGCAGCAAAAATTAATTCAGAAAGGTTTAACCAGAGATACAGATGCTCTGATAAATCTGTGTTGCTGGACTGGCGTGAGCTCGCTCGTCACGATCCTTCTTCTTCTTCTTCTTCTTCTTCTTCCCTTCAAAAGCGGTTTTGGCGGATTTCAACACCAGCTTTCAGGATCATACCGCCACCTGCCGACCGGAGTCCGTATGTTAAACAGGATCTACTTAACATTATCCTCCTGAGACATTCTATTTTGGGTTTGCTGCTGCACCCTAGACTCCATTCTGCTTTTGTGCCATCGAGTGTCAGCAAAGCACATACAAATACACTAATATATGAAAATACAAAATGGCAGCCATCTCTGCCAAGTCACTCTGCAGCTGATCCTGACACAAATGTGGACAATGTACAAAACCTGAACAGCTTTTATGGGTGAAACTAATTTAGCCTACTTGTGCTTAATAATGTTTGTAGTTCAATATCACATACAAATTTGACCAATTTAACAACAGTAACAAGCTAAGACACTGTTAATAAGGAAGTATTTGAGGACATTGAGACCTTATTACCATCACGTCTGTGGACAGTGGGGCTATATTATTGCAGCATTTCACACAGGCCAGTTAGGAGTGACAGACCGTTCCTACAGACAAAACAGACATTCCTAGCTTGGATTATGAATCAAGGAAAATACATAAGGAGTTAGTGTCATCTCTAACATTGGTTCCCAAGTGGTGGGTCTCGCTCCAAAAGTGGGTTGCACATCACTTCTGAATGGACCACAAGTGACTCTCAAACTTGTCAAGTTTGTAAAAAAATATACTTAATTTTTGAAGTACAGTGAATTTCCAGCACAGAGCTTTTATTTTGAGGTGCCATTTTCTGTTGTAGAGTGAGCGACTAACCAACAGCTACTTAAAGGACAACTTCGGTATTTTTCAACCTGGGCTCTATTTCCCCATGTGTATGTGTGCGTATGATTCATGGGTACAACTCGTACTAAAATTGGTTCAGTATTGAGGGAGGTGGATGGAACCGGGAGCCGCGAAACGAGCTAAAACGGTAACAGGGGCAAATGCGTCCCATATAAGTTTGCGCATTAAAAGTGCTTTTTTTCGCCACTGACCAGTTCAGATCGGCAGTGCTATGAGTGGAGTCAGCTGTCAGTCAGTGTTGGAGCAGAGAGGGGGAGGGCTGCCCCGCTGGGTACTGTAGGTGAGTATGTGTGTATGAAGTGTGTGTTTTTTCGCTACTGACCAGGTCAGATCACCAGTGCTATCTCTGTAAATAGCATACTAACTTAGCATTTCCCTTACCTCTGGGCTGTGTGATGTCACAAGCTTTGCTCCACTGTGTCTGTAGCTCTCTCTACTCGTGGGACAGCCGTTTTCTTGAGGAAGAGGTGTTTCGGGATTGGATGTCTTCTCTTCTTCGGCTGGCAGTAGTCATCTTGGGAGAAGTGAGCACTGCAGACCCGATGGTCTGCAAGGCGCAGTGTCTGGACAGGAGTGTTAGCATCCATTTGTAGCACAACTAGCCACAACTTCAGCATCTCGCCGTCCGACAAAGGCAGCCTATGAAAGCTGTACGGGGTGTTGCGCAACATGCTGTTCTTGCGTTCGGGAAAAAGGCCCATTTATTTGAGCACTCCAAAAACTCTGGTAACACTCCAGGGGGTAGCACGTAAAAGACTCTGTCCTCTGACTCTTCTAGCATAACACACACACTTCATACACACATACTCACTTACAGTACCCAGCGGGGCCGCCCTCCCCTTCTCTGCTCCAACACTGACTGACAACTGACTCCACTCATTCACACTCACCACTGCCCCAGGGCCGCTACAATATGCTATCTACAGAGATATCACTGGCGATCTGAACCAGTCAGTGGCGAAAAAAAGCACTTTTATACGGGACGCATTTGCCCCTGTTACCGTTTTAGCTCGTTTCGCGCCGCAATACTGAACCAATTTTAGAACGAGTGGTACCCATGAATCATACGCACACATACAGTACAGGCCAAAAGTTTGGACACACCTTCTCATTCAATGCGTTTTCTTTATTTTCATAACTATTTACATTGTAGATTCTCACTGAAGGCATCAAAACTATGAATGAACACATGTGGAGTTATGTACTTAACAAAAAAAGGTGAAATAACTGAAAACATGTTTTATATTCTAGTTTCTTCAAAATAGCCACCCTTTGCTCTGATTACTGCTTTGCACACTCTTGGCATTCTCTCCATGAGCTTCAAGAGGTAGTCACCTGAAATGGTTT